AATGTTTTTGATAAGGGAAATCAGGAATTCTTTTGAAAAAAATGTTTGGAATTTGGATGGGAGTGAAGAAAAGGAGAAGAACGGATAAGAAAGTGCTTGAAATTTTTGTGCTACATGCATTATCAGCTACTTCTATATCTTCTACACATTGTCATGTATTATTGGTACTTTTTTACATAGTACAATACAGTACAGTAAGCCTAAAGTCTAATATAAACTATACAATCGTATTATACAAAGGCCAGTATTCTGTAATAAAGCGAATCGAACAGTAGAACTACCCTAAAGTCTCGAGTATAAGTTGATCCGATTATAAGTTCTGCCTTAATTTACATTCGCTTTAATTGCTTTGAATTTCTTTTGTTGGGTTTTATAGACTTTTATTGTTATATAAACTTTTATTATTGTTCTTGGAGCGCGGGTGACAGCCTACAGGACTACAGGGTGACTACAGGGTGACAGCCTATCACCATTGCTATTTGTTATGTGCATGGATACATCCAGACGATAGTGTTGAAGAAGACGCTGGAAAGCATCTCTTTCGACCGTCGACGTGGACTTTGGCCGGATGAAGAGGCCAGGGAGGGATCCATAAGACTGAGCACTGGAGAGGAGCGCGCCGAGCCACGCCCAGAGCAACAAATAACAGCATGAAATTGTTATAACCCTCAATAAATTTACTTCTATTATTGTTCTTAAAAAGCAAAAAAGTTATGCTGCAGCGGGGTTCGAACCCTCGACACACCGCACCGGAGACAGCCGTCAATTTGCATGCGAAAACCAAACAGAACTTATACTCGCGACTTTAGGGTAATGAAAAGTTGAAAATCTTTAAACATTTCTTTAAAACCTTGTGTAAAGCGATAAACTGCACGTAAAAGCGAATCACAAATAGATCTAAATGATCGAAGAAAACGAGAGAAACAGTTTTTCCAAAAAGTTAACCATTTATTCAGGTTTCCTCCAATCTTTTTCATTTCTCCGTTTTCTTTTTCAAAGATTCGCGTGATCTCCGTAGTGATCACTTTTTCGTAACCTTGTGCATTGACATTGTGCATTTCAAGGTTAAATTCTCCTCCTTTTTACCTAAAACCTTACTAAAACATGTAAGCTTTTAGAAAACTACAGTAACCTTTCTATTTATGATAAATAATTGCATTTTAAGACTATATACAATTCCAAGAATTTTTTTATTGATCGGTTAAGAGGTCGACTACTTTAAAACCCAGGGAAATGCCATCAAGCCAATCAGCTGCACTCACAACTTGAGCCATACAACACCAAAACAATTCTCATTGCCTGAAAGTCTTATTTTAAAGCTTTTGAACCAAGTTTTGAACCAACTTTTGAGGCATTTAAATTTGATAATCCGTTTAACAACTTGAATTCTTGGATAGGAAAAATTGTTTTTATTCATTTATTCGGCATTTATCGTCAAAATCCAAAATTAAGTTGAATTCGACAAAATTGTAAAAAATCTCTTCCCATGCCGGGAATCGAACCCGGGCCGCGTGGGTGAAAGCCACGAATCCTAACCACTAGACCACATGGGAGGATGAAAGGATGACTGAAAAAAAAGGCTTTTTCTTGGTAATGAACAAGATTTGATGATTTGTTGAAGTCTTGTTTACAAGAATTCTTCGGAGAGAAATGTTTACAAATTTATTCTAAAGTTGACAACATGAATTAGGTTAAATCTTGGATCTTTAAAAAAGCAAAAAAAGAGAAATTTCTTCTCATGGAGGAGCAGGCTCGGCTATGTTGTCTTTAGTCAGCCACGTAAACATCTTAACCAAGACTGTGGAGCAGGCTCGGCTTCTTCTGGAGGAGCAGGCTCGGCTTCTGTTTCTAGCTTCTTATTAGCCGAATCTTGCAATCTCAACTAAATCCTTCTAATTAGTCAAATTAGACAGATGAGTCAATCATAAGAAATCTTTGATGAAAACGATCCAGCAGTTTAGTTCATAAATCAACTAATACAGTAAGCTTACTGATTTTATCAGTAAGCTGTTTTTACTTTTCTTTTTGAAATCAAACAGCTCCAAAGCTTTGAATGTAAGAAACAAGAATTTAAGAAAAAAAGCTTTCAAAATCATCGATCATTTCCCAAAAACAAAAACATTACTTCCCATGCCGGGAATCGAACCCGGGCCGCGTGGGTGAAAACCACGAATCCTAACCACTAGACCACATGGGAGGATGGGAAGGGGCTGGAGAAAGGCCTCTATAAGGCGTCCAAGAAGGCCTCCGGTCCTCAATAAAGTTTCGCAAGAAATTATTAGAAGTACACTGAATTTCGATAAGTTTTTAGTGAAAGATTTCTGCAATTGAGCTAAATTTGCATTTAAATTCGATAATCCGTTTAACAACTTGAATTCTTGGATAGGAAAAATTGTTTTTATTCATTTATTCATTAAATAGTTAAATTTGAAGATCTGAAGCTGATTAACTGAACTTATCAATCCTTTTTGTGTATTTGCACATCCGATCATTCCCACGGACTCGAAATTACATTTGTCGCCATTTCTAAATCAGGAATTCTGAGCCTGAGCCTGAGCCTGAGCCTGAGCCTGAGCCTGAGCCTAAGCCTGAGCCTGAGCCTGAGCCTGAGCCTAAGCCTGAGCCTGAGCCTGAGCCTGAGCCTGAGCCTGAGCCTGAGCCTAAGCCTGAGCCTGAGCCTAAGCCTAAGCCTGAGCCAGGATTTGCACATCCGGATTTGGATTAGCCTTGATCCAGTTCTAAAACCGTACTAAGCCTTTTACAAGTAATGGAACTGAATTTTCAGGCTTTTAAGGCTCTCTATTGACCATGGTAGCTGAAGTTTCCCTAATTTTGATTTAAGATTTGGTTAAAGTACCACAAAGCCACTTGCAATAGGTGAAACACAACAAAACTACAAAGAACATCAAATAGACATTTTTGTGTAAGCAATAAACGATCACAAAGCAATGCTTTGTTTTATCTTCTTTATAACACAGCTGGTTTGGATGGAATTTCAATTTGAAAACGGCATTTTAGCTTGAAAATTGACTTTAAAATCGACGTTTTAACAAACCTGATTGATTGAATGTGCACAATTCTTATGGATAAAGCCATTTTTGCACAAATTTAAATCTATTTTTATCAGTGCTTGTCTGTTTATTTTGCTTTCAAACTTGCCTTGTCGACATTTGATTCAAATATAAATGAGTTTTTGATGCAAATCGTTTATACAGACACAGGCAATGGTTTGAAAGAGTGGAATAGTGGTTATAAATTAGCCATTGATAGATAGATAGCCATTTATACAGACAGATGATTGATGAATTCCTTACAAGCCACCGAGCAAGTCACCAAGTCCCCTGGAATTGAATTCGTTTTGATTATCTGGTAACAAACTCACAATCCATTGGTGAGTCCACCAACAACTCCGGTAAGACCTCCAAGTCCGCCAGTCAATCCACCCAAACCACCAGTGAGTCCACCAACTCCACCAAGATCTCCAGTCAAACCACCAAGAGCATCAAGACCGGGAAGGACACTGAAATGAGATGAATGGGTTTCTGGATCAAGACTTACACAAGAAGTTTCCCAAGAAGTGGCTCGATCAATCCCTCGAGGAGTTGACACACCAAATTCTGGACTGTTTGGAGGAGGCCGATTTGTTGGACGAGCGAATCATCAACCAAAGACCAAACGGGTGAAAGAACTCCAGTCAAAATTTGAAGACAGAGACCCGAGTAGAGATTCGATTCACCGGTCAACACTCCAGAGAGAAGATATTCGACATTGGCCTCCAATTCCAATCCACATGGACCCATTGGGACGAGAACGACTGAGGGAAGTTCGAGACCGCCCTGGAATTGAGTGGATTGAATGTTGAGTCATTAATTGAATACCTTAAGGATCTCCAAGTGTTGAAGAGTGTATTTGTTGAACTTCGTTCCATTCACAGTCTCCACAGTCTTGGTCAAGATGTTCACATGGCTGACTAAAGAAAAAATAGCTCATAAAGTTTAAGTAGGACTATCCAGTCTTGGCAAGCAACCGCTGTAATTCTCAGTCATATTGAAACTTACTGAAGTCCAAGATACAATCTAATACTTGAAGATTTGGAATGAGTGGGCATTTGCAAACTCCATTCACATTTGGAATTGGAATCTTCGGGGTAACAGTTGGAAGAGACACTGGGGGAAGGCTTACAGCCAATAGAGGAGTGGCCAAGAAAGCGATGAAGAAGATTGAGGTGGACATTTTCTCAAAGTTAGTTGAGAAATGAAATGGAATGTGGTGGTGATGATTCGATGTTAAGCTCGACTTTTATAGTGAAACAAGTTGGTCAAAATATTTTCCCAATCAGCGTCTCTGATCAAAAAGGCACATTTTTGGACCGAGAGTGATCAAAAAAAACGAACGATTTATTAAAAAAGTGTCTGCTGCTTGTTTTGGCAACAAAATTTCCATATTGATGATTCCATATTGATGATTGAACGGTGGAGAACAATGAGAGGTGTTTTGAATGAAAACTTTGAGCTATTTTAGTCATCCAGGCCAAATTGGAAGAACGGAAATGCTTTTGGTAAGGTTTTTTGTAAGGAAAATTCTCATAGCTATGAATAATAGCAATGAGATAACTCAATTACCATTTTAAAAAGTAAAATTTGATTAGATAAACGTGAAAACTTCAAACTAACACTGTTAAGTAAAGAAATTTGATCGTTAGACTAATATAAAAGCCTCTCTTTCATTCTTTTACCTCATACAACCTTGATTAAAAATAACAATCGATCATTTTGTCAAAAAATACCTCTCCTGTTCTTTTTCTGTTCGTTTAGACTTAGAGAGAAATATGGAAATTTTTGACAAAACAAGAATCAGACTGTTTTTCATAAAAGCGAACTCAGCTATTTGATCATTTTATTTAAAAATATTTTGACCAACTTGTTCCACTATAAAAGTCGAGCTTAACACCGAATCATCACCACCACATTCCATTTCATTTCTCAACTAATTTTGAGAAAATGTCCACCTCAATCTTCTTCATCGCTTTCTTGGCCACTCCTCTATTCGCTGGAAGTCTTCCCCCAGTGTCTCTCCCATCAGTCACTCTTCCAACTGTTACCCCAAAGATCCCAATTCCGAATGTGAATGGGACTTGTAAATGCCCGCTTATTCCAGATCTTCAAGTATTGGATTGTATCTTGGATTTCAGTGAGTTTCAATAAGACTAAGAATTACAGTGATTACTTGCCAGGCAAGACTAGATAGTCCAACTTTATTGCCTATTTTTTTCTTTAGTCAGCCATGTGAACATCTTGACCAAGACTGTGGAGACTGTGAATGGAACGAAGTTCAACAAATACACTCTTCAACACTTGGAGATCCTTAAGGTATTCAATTAATGACTCAACATTCAATCCACTCAATTCCAGGGCGGTCTCGAACTTCCCTCAGTCGTTCTCGTCCCAATGGGTCCATGTGGATTGGAATTGGAGGCCAATGTCGAATATCTTCTCTCTGGAGTGTTGACCGGTGAATCGAATCTCTACTCGGGTCTCTGTCTTCAAATTTTGACTGGAGTTCTTTCACCCGTTTGGTCTTTGGTTGATGATTCGCTCGTCCAACAAATCGGCCTCCTCCAAACAGTCCAGAATTTGGTGTGTCAACTCCTCGAGGGATTGATCGAGCCACTTCTTGGGAAACTTCTTGTGTAAGTCTTGATCCAGAAACCCATTCATCTCATTTCAGTGTCCTTCCCGGTCTTGATGCTCTTGGTGGTTTGACTGGAGATCTTGGTGGAGTTGGTGGACTCACTGGTGGTTTGGGTGGATTGACTGGCGGACTTGGAGGTCTTACCGGAGTTGTTGGTGGACTCACCAATGGATTGTGAGTTTGTTACCAGATAATCAAAACGAATTCAATTCCAGGGGACTTGGTGACTTGCTCGGTGGCTTGTAAGGAATTCATCAATCATCTGTCTGTATAAATGGCGATCTGAATTTGTAACAATTATTGACCATTATTTGCCCAATGTCAACTTGCATAAACAATTTGCATATGATTACCCGTTTTACCAAATACAAATCACAATCATACTTAGTCTTTGGTTTTATATGCCAAACGATTGAGATTCGAGTTGCTTAAAGTAGTGATTCGCCTGATTCGCTTTAGTGTTTCTTCTTTCTGGGAAAGTTTCTGGAAAATCTGATTTATAAACCTTGAAATGACCATTAACAACTGACATTCTACTGCCTTTTATTCTATTTTTTATCAGGTGATTGTGATTGTATCAGGTGATTCATTAAGCATTTTTTCTTAGGCAATTGTATTATGAAAAACAGAGCTATTCATCTTGACATCCAGCTAATCAAGGTCAGATCCTTTCAGACCAATAATAAAATGTTGAAAATCTATTGTACTCTAGCTAGGTGATGATCTCTAAGCCTTTGCAGCGTATTCCCAGTGATTCTGGAGTCATTTTTTTTCTTCTGATACAAAATAGCTGTATATTGAAGGGTCGCGTCCGTTTCCTTCCTATTTGCGTTGCTATTTTGCAATTATTCGCGTCGCATTTTTCGTCCTCCGAAATGATTTTTTTTGATCTGCGGCTTTTTGCCTTCTTTCTTGGGGGACTTTGTTGTTTCATTTTTGATGCGCATACTGTTTTTGTAATGGGTATTGTTGCATTTCGGTTCTGTCTTCTGGTTGATAGTTGGTTGATTTCTCGTTGGTTGATCTAGTTAGTTGAAAAAGGTAGCTTGATATCCGGTCTCAAAGATGATGAGCAACTATGGTTCAGAGGATTTCAGTAGAATGTTCCTTAGAGTAAAAGGAAGGAGTAGATGAACGGGATTGGGTACGTGAGTGAATAATGCATTCGAAAGGGAGAGATCGGTGACGCTTGAGAAATCCTTCCTGAATCGCAACCAACTAGAGAATAATGAGCTTGATCATGTTCGTGATATTCCCACCTTAGCTAGATTTAAAGCCGCAATTTCGGCAATTGATTGGTCGCGTCCGTTTCCTTCCTATTTGCGTTGCTATTTTGCAATTATTCGCGTCGCATTTTTCGTCCTCCGAAATGATTTTTTTGGTCTGCGGGTTTTTGCCTTCTTTCTTGGGGGACTTTGTTGTTTCATTTTTGATGCGCATACTGTTTTTGTAATGGGTATTGTTGCATTTCGGTTCTGTACTAATAAACAGTAACGTTATAAATTCACTTTACTTTATGCTACCCTTCAGGTTTTAAATCCTCTTTAGATGACTGGTTTAACATTGTAGAGAGGTTTTTACTAACATTTGTGTCACCATCGACGTAGTATGAATCCGATCCGTTCTTCTCAAGAGTATTAATCTATTGTTGGATACTACGTGTTCTTGTTACGTTTGGGCTTTTGGGGGGAAAGCGCTTTTGGGGAGAAACCATTTTAACCTATTCGGCCTATAACCTATAACCTTTTTGTGCTATTCGGCCATTCTTAAGCAGAATCATCCTCGTTGATAAGGTTAAAGCGGCTCGCATCCCAAACTGAAGGATTCAGGGTCAAGATTTGAGTCACGATTCTAGTCTAATATCTAGTCGATTCTACAAATTTCTTTGTATTCTCATAACTTTCTTTTATTTACCGGTATCATATTTACAAGCACAGGGGCTAGATCTATCACTAAATGAAAAAAAAGAAAAACAAAATAGCAAAACGATAGAAAGAGAAATAATAAACCATAGAAAAAACGAAGAAAAACGAAGAAAAAAACATTTGAACCAATTAAAGAGTGAAAAGAGTGTCAAATCTCGAAAATCCCTTTCAATTTCCACATATAAAATCATTCTAAACCTTCGAGAATCTAGATTTGACTTAAGAAATTCAAAAGTTTACTTTTTTTATTGAAAAAATCTGCAAAAATAAGCAAAAATCTGCAAAAATCTGTAAAAAATCCTTTTTGGAGTATCACAGTTACGCAATATTTCCGTTAGGTGATTGGAGAAATTGAAATTATTCAAAGAAAACAAAGATAAAAGGAGATTGAGAATTTTTAGCTTTATATAATTTACAAAGACAAAGACAAATCAACGAGCAAGAGTGCCGATCAGCGAGGCGCACATCTCAAAGAATTGCATCGTTTGAGAAAGCTTTGCACCACCCGGTGATGGCGGAGGGGACTCGACCTGGAAATTACTTATTGCTTATCTCCCGGATTATATTGCTTTTGATACTTATTGCGTATCTCCCTGCATTTAACGATTTACATTTAGCAATTTGCCTTTTAGCAATTTGCCTTTTAGCAATTTGCCTTTTATCAATTTGCATTTATCAATTTGCATTTATCGATTTCCATATAACATTCTGATTATTCTGGACTTCTCTTCATTATTCTGGGCTTCTCTTCAAGCAATAAAATTTACATAGAAATTAAAACGATAACATTTAGAATAAAAAACATTTTCTCTATGTTCTATATGTCGCAGCCGCTCGTGATTTTCAGCCGCTAGTGATTGAATCACCATCGACTAGCCGATGGTGATTCAATCACTAGCAGCTAGCCGTTGGTGCTTGAATCGCCATTTTTGAATTGAATCACCAATGTAAACAGATTGTTTAGTATGATAAGAGTGCCCGTTTTCTCTTTTTCTTTCCTTTCACCTATTACAAGCTGAGCCTAAGCCTGAGCCTAAGCCTAAAGCTTAAAGTCTAAAGCCTAAGCCTAAAGCCTAAAGCCTAAAGCCTAAAGCCTAAAGCCTAGAGCCTAAGTCTAAGCCTAAGCCTAAACCTAAGCCTAAAGCCTAAGCCTGAGCTTAAGCCTAAAACCTACAGCCTAAAGCCTAAAGCCTAAAGCGTAAGCCTAAGCCTAAAGCCTAAACACTCCTTTTCTAGAGCACTTATTTCTTTCTTTTTTAAGACACAACATAGATAATGATAACGATGATGTGGTAGAAGAATGCTCTAGAAAAGTGTCTAGAAAAGTGTCTAGAAAAGTGTCTTTTCTCAGTGCATAAAATGGTGACAAGTCTAGTCTATGAAATGAATTCAATCCAACTCCAATCCAATCAAATCAATCCAATTAAACTTATCATAAAACTTACATCTTGTGGTTTAAACCCAACATCCATTGGCATAGGTAAACTCTGTGCTCGATTGTTTCTCAAAGCTGGCTTTGTTGCATAAGAGATCGATGGATGACGAGAAGAGCACGCTGAGCTGGCTGAATAGCTTTTGTAGAAGAAAATTGATTTGTTTAACTCACGTTCTTCTTCAACGAGACTTTTGAAATCAAGAAGATAGCTTCTATTGTCAACTTGGTAGAGTTGAAGGCTCATTCTCGGAGTATCCTGGGTTGAATTCTCGGGACGACGGCGAACGATCACGTGGTATGGGTTAAGGACCTAAACTTTTCAATGATTTCGACAAATTTGAGAGATCTTTAGGCTTTAATTCTTTAGGCTCTAACTTTAGGCTTTAATTCTTTACTTTCAGACACTTGCTTTAGTACAATATTACTTTATTGCCATGCTCTGCCCTTTTAGCTTTGAATTCCTAGATTCTTTCATTACCAACCTTCCACTCGAAGTCAAGCGTCTTCATCGCGCGGTAGACTTCTTGCATGATGTCTTCTGAAAATGGAAATTTGGAATTGTTTGAGAAGTTAGTACTTTACCGTTATATTTCTCAATCTATGATAATCTAGAAGTACTTGTGAAGAATCGTTCATTCAAGAACATTCAATTATTCAAACAAGAATCATTCATTCAAGGTTTATAAGGATTAATGACTCTAACGTTTGTGATTTGAAAGCCTATTTTCATTCCTAATAAAGCGCTAAATCCAATACGAAAGCACTCTAATCAGTTGACAGATGAGATTTTGAGATTTTAGATGTTCAAAATTTGATTTTAGCCCTTTACACCTTTTTCAAAGATAGTTATCGGTCACGTTGCTCAATGTCGTTGTGTTCTATCACTAAATCCTATTGAAAGCTGGAACTAATTTGACTCAATATTACAAAATAGACAAATTGAGAGTTCTTTGCAGAAAGCCTATCATGCAAAGCTCAAGATTAGTGCTTATTGTGGGGGTTTTTCTATTTCTCTTACTTCAGAACATTACTACTAACTCTTCGGCTCAATATGTCGCCACAAAATGGGGTGATCAGCTGATGACCAGCTCTACGGTGGTCAGCTGATAATCAGCTCTACGGTGGTCAGCGGATAATCAGCTCTACGGTGATCAGCTGATCATCAGCTCTACGGTGATCAGCTGATCATCAGCTTTACTTCGGATACCAGCAGGGCTTGGTTTTACCTTATATCATCACAGATACTGCAACAAGACTGAATATTAAGGTGAGGGTATTCAGCTTTCAACTTTACCCAGGAAATTGTAACAAGACTGGATACTGGGACTTTACAGTACCGTTGTGCCCTATTTTGCCTTCCTTTGTTCTTCCTCCTTATCTTTTCCTTTTTCTCTTGGCAAGTTAAGCTACTGGATAGTTCAGTGGTTAAAGCAAAAGATCGCAAAGCTGGTTGGGAAGTTCGCAAAGCTGGTTGGGAAGTGGGAAATTTTAAAAGGTCTTGGGTTCAATCTCTCTCCAGAAATCTATCTTTTCTTTCCAATTCTTTCACTTCTTTATTAAGAACCGTACTATACGTAGAACTAAGAACCGTACAATCTATAATTTTTTAGAAATTTGTTTACTACCTGGTCGACTCTGGCTTCTAATTCCTAGATGCCATTTGGCTTTCTTGATTTGCGAAGTCTTTGCGTCTTTCTGTGTTGGTGAGATCGAGTCGGCGTTCTCAAGTGAAGCAGTGATCTTTGAGCTAACATTAGCTGAAAACCCAATAATATTTCGATATTTACAGCTTCTAGTATTATCATTCTTTGCTTTATTTCTTTATCTTTACCTGAAATTCTCTCCGGATGACGCATTCCATCAGGATTGTTCGCATTCACTTG